GTCCTCTATTTTCTGCATCATACTGTCTTGTGAATTTGCAATATTGGCTTCAATTTTCTCCAGCTTCATTCTCATTTCTGCTTGTTCTTTATTATGCTGTTCCTCAATACGCTGTATTTTATCTTCCATAATTCTCTTAGTAGCTTGTCTAGTACCGTAGTGATGTTGTATTTCTCTTTTGGCCAGAATAACTGCGATTGAAAAATCTTTTTAATATTATTTTTTTTCAAATTTTAATTAATGAATTTTATCTTAATAAATAAAATAAAAAGATATTCATAAATAAATTTATGAAATGAATGATGAATGTATGCAAAATGTATGTATGCAAAAAGGTATTGATCCCAAAAAGTTAACTGTCATAGAACAACTTTCATCGGCATACAAAAGTTTCTTTATAATAGTTCATAACTACAGATAAGGCATAGCTTTCCTATTAAGCTCTATAATTTCTTTCATTAACCATGACACCTTCTTTCCGCACTTAGAAACTGGATCAACGTGATGCTCAATTATTTTGGCTTCAACAGCTAATTCCCCAACATATCTAGCAACTTCGCTCATTTGTACCATGGCCTCGAACACCATATTACTTCTTTCTTCACTTCTTTCCACATAGAAATCAGTTGACTTTTGCCATTGTTCATTCGTTCCTTCAAGAGTTTGCTCTAACTCAGTGATTCTGACTTGACAATTGTGCAGAATTTTTTCAAGATCTCTAATGCGTCTTCGTAGTGAAGCATTTTCCTCATTACTTTCTTTGAGGTCATTAGGTCCTAGACGAACCTTTTCTTGAAACAATGATTCTTCAAGTTGCAAAATGTAAGCATTAAACTCTGAGTTTTTATTTCTAGACTGATCCAAATCTTCTTCAAGTTTTGTTCGTACTTCTTGCGTTCTTTGATTAAGCTTCTGAATTTGAACATCCTTGTTTCTGCATCTTTACATCCAATTTCTAGCCACTTCCTGCTCTACCTCAAGTCTCGTGTTGAAATTTTTCCTTTCCAGCTCCCATTTTTCTTTTTCAATATTGGATTCTTCCATCTTTTGGCCTCTGACTTCAAGTTCAGCAATCAACTGGTTCATTTCAGATTCAAATCCCTTGAACATGATATTTTTCTCACCTTCAAATTTATCAAAGATGTCATTCTTCATCTCTTCTAAATATTTGGCTCGATCCCTTTCTCTTCGCATTTCATTCATGATCTCACGGTGTTCAGCTTTGTTTTTTATAATTCGCTCTCTTCTGTCAACCTCAAAATCTTCCATTTTTTGCTTTCCTTTCTCAAGGCTTTTGAGTAGACGGCTATTCTTTCCTTTCAGATCTTCAACTCGTCTTTTCTCGATGTTCAATTCTCTGGTCATTTGTATTGTTGCATGGTTTGATCTTGATGCTTTCCGGGATTTATATAATTCCTGGTAATTTTTCTGTAATGCTCTGAATTCATCATCAACTTTTTCTTTATCTTTTCTCAACATTGCACATTGTGATGAATGAAAATCAATGTCAACTCCCAACATAGCTTTATCTTGTCTCATTTGCTCTAATTCTTTCGACCAGCCTTCTCTTTCTGCTTCAAACTCGGCTCTCAGGATTTCAATCTCTGATGGAACCACCTTAATGCGATCTTCCATAGAGATATCCTCTTTTTGATCTGGTAGAGGAATATTTTCATTTTTCCTGGCAGATCTCCATTCTTCATAATCAGGAGTTAGCATTTCTTTTGCTGCTTTAGCTCGGATACAAAAAGTTGTTTTCCAAGCTGTAACAGCTTCCATGATATTTCTTTTATAATTTTTGCTATGGAATGCGAACTCAGATGACTGTAATCCAGCAGTGACAGGTACAAATTGGCGACCTTCATACTGTCTTATAACCAGAAGTGGTGCATATCCAATTCCTCCCCATAATCTGAGCAGCATTATCCAATTATAATCACCACATCTGTAAAAGAATTCCCTTTGGATTTGCCACGGGGCTCGCCAAACAACGTCATTGCTTTGCAGATTTCGAAAGGCATTAATCCACATATCTTTCTTAATTTCTTTCGGCCATTCCTGCTCCAGAAATTCTTTTAATGGTGAGTAATACGTATTAAAACGTCGGTATGAAACTTTTTTTGTCCTCCAGAAATGACTACGGATCCAAACATATAACAACTGGGTACACCCTGAAAATCGTCCACCTCCTAACTTTCTACAAGCATTTAACGATCTGAAGGTCTCTGCTAGGATTGCAAAAGCAGGATTAATCTTTTTCGGCAGCTGTTCAAACAAATCTACCACTACAGCTTCAACATATCCCAATACTTTTGGGAAGATGATCATACCATACATACCCAGAGCAAATAAATCGAATCGTACTTTAATATCTGGATGGCTTTGAATAAGTTCTTTAATGTTGGTCCAAGCAATGCCTTCGCTTTCGCCTTTTTGTTTTGTACGGGATGCCACCCATTCTTCTCGTACCCCGGCAATCTTTGCTAATTTAACTCGAAAGGGTTGAGTTTTAATTGACTTTGAATAGATTCGATTCTCCAAAGCCCCTTCGATATGTAACAAAGTTGTGTACTCTTCAATAGTAGGGACCAAGTCTTCTTTATTGAGAGTGAAGCAATTGTACCCTGGATTCCAGAATTGAATTAGGGCTCTGAGTAATTCATCATCAACTTCGACATAGAGCAAATATGGGATGTCTCCGTAAGTTTGATAAAACTGCAATTTTTTATTTGAATCCCAACTTTCCCAAATACTTCGCAAATCTTGCATATCATTTCTTTTTAGCGAAACTGGAGCATAACTGGCCAAGTCAGATACATAATCATCCTGCAGACTGTCTCCTTCTTGTCTTTGTAATTCTTCAGCCCACTGTCTTACTTCTGAGTTTAGAATTACTTGATTTGAACACTTTTTATCCATAGATGAAGGCTTTCCAATGAGACAATTAACACAAGGATCAATGCCTTTTATCCTGTATGATGCTATACAAACAGAAAAAAATAAAGAACACACAAAAAGAAATGAATTAGTTTACATAATAAAGAAATTTAATAATAACATTTACCTAAATATTTTTATTTAAACATGCTTTTCTAAATTGAAATAATTTAAATATACATGTAATTTAATCAGTAAAGAAAATAAACAAACAAGAAAGTTAGAATTCATTTCTCCTGTGTGTACACCTATTTTGGACAAAATTTCGGCATGACTTCAGATCGGAAGAGTTTCTAGGGTTTTTTATATGCAGGGTTTCAGATCTAAGAATAAAGGTACCCGAATTGTCCTTGTTAGTGCCCCCTTGGGTTGCTAACCCTCAACCCTAGTCCATTACAGACTAAAGTGGATCGAGTTCAATTCGAGGGGATACATTTCTCTATGACTAACACGGAGAATAAATTCTCACGAAGACATAGAGCATATGAACCCCGAAAGTTACTTGCTAGGTCTGACACGGAGAATAAATTCTCACGAAGACGTCGCTTTCACTCCCACTTAAAAGGGATAAATCTCAATTATAGAGATTATGTTTATGCAATGCAAGTGTTGTGTGTGATGAGAAATGTTCAAACTTTTGACAGAAAAATAAATAATGAAATAAAATACTTGCAAGTAAAATGAAATATAAATATAAATACTATAAAAATAATAAGTATATAAAAATTTGAAAAGAAAAAATTATAAATTAAATATATGAATTTTTTAATTTATAATTAATAGAGACAATTTATAATTGATTTTAAAAGTTTGACCAGTCCCCAGCGGAGTCGCCAAGCTGTCGTAACCGGTTTTCGCCCGGGCACGAAATATTTATTTTGACGGGAAAAGTGATGTGAATAAATGGTTTTGAAAATAATTTGGGAGTCGCCATCGGCCTTTTGGGTCAGGTAGGTCGAATACCTAAAAAATATCTTTTAAAAGAGTTTTTAAGAAAACATCAATTAAAAGAATGAACTGATCTGCGTTTATAACCAAAAATTCACTCTTTTTAATAATAAAAAGGGATTCGTGGTCGGTTACGTTTAGGGAAGAATTAGCACCCCTACAATGCCCAAAATTGGTACTTTTTAATTATGAATTGTCTCTATTATTAAAATATTAAAAATTCAAAATATATTTAATTTATAATCCTATTATTTCAAAATTATAAAAAAAATATTTAAAAATATCGGAAAAGAACTTCTAGATGCCTTAAGACAGCTCTTTTCTTTGATATTGATAAATATTAATTTAAATTAAATAATATTTTTTATAATTTTTAATTTTAAAATATCAGAATAGGACATCCAGTTGTATTAAGACTGTCCTTTTCTTCGATATTGAAAAGTAAATATTAAAATAATTTATTTAAAATAAATATCTATTTATTATATATATTTATGACTACATAATGACAATATTTAAATATATAAACAAATAAAATTAAAAAAAATACAATTAGAGCTATATATTTAAAAGCAATAAAATACTAAAAATATTTAAAATAAATGACTAAATTATAGTAAAATTAAAATTAAAAACCTAATTCATAATTAATCAAAATTACAGGGATTAAACATGCTATTTTCTTATTTAATAATTTAGTGACTAAAATAAACTTATCTAAAATTCGAATATAAGATTAAAATAAATTAAAAATATAAACTAGGGATTAAAATATTATTTATTAAAGTTAAGGGATTAAATCTGTTATTTATCCTAAATATATTATTTTAATATAAATGACTAAAATGAATAAAATTGAAATTCGAAGACTGAATTACAACGTTCAGAAGTTAATTTCAGTGACTAAAATGAATAATTACAAAACTCAGATGGCTGCGGAAAGGGTTTAACCTTAATGGAAATTACAGAAATACCCTCCCCAAAACGACGTCGTTTGGGAGAGGGTATTTATTCCCTAAGCCGGTTGGCCCTACGGGCCAGCTTCTCATTTCCTCCTTTCTCTTCTCTCTCAAACAGAGAGATAGAAGAGTTCTCTGGCTTCTCTCTAAACTGAGAGAAGTCGTCCCGGTCAGCCACCGCTGCCGGGCTCCGACCCCCGCTGCCGGCCACCGTTAATGGTGGCCGGAAATTACAAAAATCCACCAAAATATAGATCGGGACTGTCTAAAACCGTTTCCGGTGTTCTTTTTCCTTAAAAAGCTCCCAATCGGAGCAAATCTACAAAAGTACCTTCGGTTTTCGTTGTATCCGACGACGGTTGGGGTTCTCCGATAATAGAGTAAGCTTCTTGCCTCTTTTCTCTCTTTTTTTTCTTTTTTTTTCTGCATTGATGTTGACTGAGATCGTTGGTATATTTTTTAGTATATCTTTTTTTCTTTTCTCTGTTTTTCTCTCCGTCTCTCTGTGTTCTCTGTCTCCTTTTTTTTTTTGGTATTCGCTGCAGATTCGGTGGCCATATTTATAGGCCTCATCGGACCTCGTCTCGGACCGGTCATTAGAGTGATTTTTCGGTGAGTCACCGAACTGGTGGTGACTCACCCTTGAGCATTGACGTGTGGAGGGCAGCTGGGTCTTATGGAGGCTTCGTCGACGAGATGGCGTGGTACTGTAGTGTCGGCAGCATCTGGTTGAACCATCTGGCTTGGGAGGCGTCGGCAGAGGCAGCTGCTGAGATCTCTTGGAGCGGCGGCGACGACAAGAATGCTAGGGTTTAGAAACCCTAGCTGAAACCCTAAATTGGTTTAGGGTTTCCTTTTGGGTCTGGGCCGGTTCTGGTTGTTTGTAACTGGGCCGGTCCAATTTTCATTGGGCCTGTAATTAATTATTTTTAATAATATTTATATATGTATTTAATATATTTAATAATAATAATAATAAAAATAATAATAATAATAATAATAATAATAATAATAATAATAATAATAATAATAATAAATCAATATGGGTAAAAAATTAGTATCTTCACACCCGAGAGTGGTCAAATGGAGGAAGTGCTCTAGAGAACGGAGTTTGGTTGTTCACACTAGGTGTGGAGTTCTGCTGATTGTTTGGTAGGGACGCAGGAGGATTCCTGGTAGTGTCTGGAATTACTTGAAGAACCAAGATAATTCAAGGTCCCTGATGGCATACCCTCCTGGTGGACCCTAAGGTGGCCCCCAAGAGCTCTATAGTTGTTGAATACTTTGTTGCAGTAGGAGCATGATCTGGCACCTGCATTCTTCTCTGCATCTTCTCTAGCCAAAGGGGAATTCATGGTAGAAACTAAGAAAGACAGACAAGCTAGTATTCTTTTCAAGAAAAGAGAACTGGAAATCTCAAGGGGACAATGATGCGGATGAAGGCCTTGTTCTCACCCGATTTTATAGCCTTTTTCAGGGGGGACAAACAGGTCATAGGGCTTTACACCAATTAATGTAAGGGTATATATTTGATGGACTGACAGTATATAAACTTCATACACTGTTAAAGAATCAAATGTTGCAGCATCATTAATAAGCACTAAAAATTTGAAATCTCAAGGGGACAATGATGCGGATGAAGGCCTTGTTATCACCCGATTTTATAGCCTTTTTCAGGGGGGAAAAACAGGTCATAGGGCTTTACACCAATTAATGTAAGGGTATATATTTGATGGACTGACAGTATATAAACTTCATACACTGTTAAAGAATCAAATGTTGCAGCATCATTAATAAGCACTAAAAATTTGAGATTCTTAAGATGTAAATATCTATAAATTTCAATTTCAAAGGCAATGTAATTAGGGAGAGCTTACTGGTTAACCTTTTTCTAATTAATAATTAGTTTTTCCAACTTAGGGTCGAAAGCAGCAACATGTAGTTCAATGACGGTGTATAGAGTTCATGTACTGTGCATATATCGTAGGCGAATCCTTCTGTAAAAGACAAATTATAATAAAAGCCATTTAAGAAAGAAGCCTCAGAAAGCTTAAAATGAGAAAAGTTACCATAAAAAATCCATGCTGAAACAACTTTGAAGAGGCATTTTCAGCAATAATAACCCGCATTTATAGCAGACATAAATAACCCTGCAGAGTATCTAATCTCGCGAAACAAATGTAAAAACCACATAGGAAGGACACCAACTTCCACAAGGCCATGAAACAACCTGGAACCTAATTTTGAGTGTCAGTTACGGGGTAGTTTTGGAACATGGAATAAAACATAAAAGGAAAGCGGATGCATCCAAGGCCTTCGTCAATGCCATATCTACATGGCCTGGACTTGATACCAGCCTTCCGATAAATGTTTATGTTCACCATATATATATACGTATATACATATGCATTTTTTCTTAATATTTAGGAATTTCTACCAAAACTCGATGTCAGTCAAGGTATTTGATTGTTTAGCATTACTTAATTAAAAGAAAACAAAGAATGGGAGTACGTGGGTCATTCTTGCTACATTTTTGTGATCTAATTGTACCCAACAGCTTCAAGAATATGAAAAAGAGAAAAAAATCATACTAGTGATTTGATGCTCAATGCAAGTGTAAAAGAGGCGCACGTATTTTGCAGAGAATAGCAAAGATATGCCACAAACATCTTTCTCAATGTATTAAAATCATAAAATCCAGTAATAAATGACGAAAACTTTACCTCTTCCTGTTCCAAACTGTTGTAACAAGTCCTTTAAACTAAGAGCCAATCAAGAGAGCTAAGCAAAGAATGCCCTAGCATATGAGACTTATGAATTTCTTCTATCACTTTAAACTCTTTTAAAATAATTTTATTTTCCTGAAGAAGTGTTGAATACCCCCTATCTCCTATTGTTCCAAACTGTTGTAACCAGTCCCATAAACTAAGAGCCATTCAAGAGAGCGAAGCAAAGAATGCACTACCACATGAGACTTAGGAATTTCTTCTTCCGCTTTTAACTCTTTTAAAATAAATTAATTTTCCTAAAGGAAGTGTCGAATACCCCCTACAAAATGCATCCATGAAAAGCCAATGAAAACAACAACAATCACTCCTTATGGCCAAGGTTGTCGAAATGAGATTCTTATAAGACTTTTTCCACAATGCTTATGAAGGTCCTCATTCTGCAACAAATGCAGAATCGTACTATTCTTCTTAACAGGCATGATTTTAGGAAAATCCTCTAGTTGCCCCAGAGAACATCTCAATTACAAACTCTTAACAAGATTTCAACTAATTCCAGTTGAAATAAACAAGGAATATGCTCAAAGTGTACAAAATAAACACATACTGACAGTATCTCCCATCATAAGTAATTTTTTATGTTGATCTTATGTTCTTGCATCTAGATTGACATTGAATGACAGCTAACAATGAGTTAACAGCAAGAAATGCCAGGAAGAAACAAGATATATTTGCTTGCATACAAACAGGTTTTCTCAGTTTCTATAGTAACCACTCATAGAAAACCTATAATGTCAGTGAAAATGTATTGAAAGAGTGTGGAGGATGTTTTACTCAAAAAAGAAAATGCATATTTATGTTGGGTATTAATTGCACTAGAGATACTATAACCAACAAGTGAAGGATACATAGTAAACTATGCAAACATAGTAAACTATGCTTTGTTTGCTTTTGGAAGACATCTTCATGTACAGATCACCATAACCCGAGGCAACATCGGGTTAAAAGATTGTTGCTTCTTCAAGAAGCTAGTTACACAAGCCCGAAGGGGAGGACTTCTAATTGTAAAGCACCAAACATCGATTCATTCATATTTCCCCACCCTAGCCGCTTCATTGTTAACTATTTCACCATTTCTTCAATATCTATGACTCCGTGGTCTATATCACTAAAACGAGTACTGGAATCATATTCTTCTCACATTAGCATTTTTCTCCTGTTCCCAACCCTAGAACATCCAATAATTATCCAGCATTGCAATCCATGTACCAGCAGCCACAACTACTCTGAAGCTGTTGTAAAATAACATGACGATGGTGAAGCAAACTCACAACATGAATAGGGGATTGGAAGGAAATGACAGTAAAACTAGATAAGCAATAAAACAAAAAGGGCAAAGCAGATTTGAAGATAATCATTCAAGAGCGGGAAGTTAAATTACTTTCAAAAGAATTTGATTAGTTTTAACAAAATTAGAGTTAGATACACACTGTAACTTGCTTACCAGAATAAAGACGGCCCAGGCATCAGAAGTTCCACTAAAAGAGGAAACAAATATTGATAATAGCCGACACCTCCAATCATCGAAATTATGTATCACAAAGTTAACGTATGATATAGAATTTTGGACAGACAATACCTGCACTATTCCAAAAAATAAAAAAAACCCGAACCTCACTTGCATTCTTGGATGAGGGCATCAACAGCATATCACAAGGATAAGGAAAGCTTATTGTTTTAGACGTCAAATATCTGAAAACATATTTAGCATGTATTTTCAAAACCTCAAAAAATCATAACCCATAGTTTATTCCCTTAAAAGGTACAGGGCTTAGGGCTTTCATAATAAGACATATTTCCCCTTACAGCATAAATTTATCATAGCTTATATACATTTATGATTTTGGATTAAAAAATACAATATCATGTGTCACTATGAGGAGGAATGAAACCTAAAGATCCCATTTCTGTTAACTTTCTGGGAAATATTTTTTTTCCAGAAACCAACAATAATAATTCTTGCAGCTTGTCTTGATAAAGTAACATTGAAGGATACAGCAACAGACAATTTGCACGAATACGAAAAAAGAAATAATATTTTTTAAATAAAGAATATCAAAAACCTTGACTAGACCTTCATGTTCACAAAATGGTATAGGAATCTATGAAGAAAGCTTCTTACCAGGTGAAAAATCTTGAAAGAAAGACGTGGGTATTCCTTATTGTTGAAGGAAATCAGATATGCCCAGAATACTGAGTCCACTCAGATAGATTGATAAATGGGCTTCTTTCAATATTAATAATCACATTCAAACAGGCCAATTATTTGGGCTTCATTAAATCAAGTTCTGCCAAGTTTCAGCCTTCAAATGAGTATTCAACTCGGATAAGCTAATTTGTTCTTCAAATAGATATCAATTTCAATTTTTATAATAACTTTTTTATTTAAAAAGCAATAATTTTAAACAAAATATGGTAACACGTTTAATAATTCAACTATCACTTTTGTTTCGTTTTGGTTACTCAATTATTTTTCTTCAAAATCATACTTAGTGTTACATTTTATTTTTATTTTGGTCATCCGTCGTTAAAACGTTAACTGTGATATTGACGTGTCACCAAAAGATAATATTATATTAATATTGAGAAAATAAAAAAATCATATAATTATTTATCCTAATTTACGAGTATTATTTATGATTAATGGTAGATATTGTATGTGCATTATTCAATTATGTAATATTATATAGTTTATAATGTGGTAATATAAAGTATATTGTACAAATTATGAACCTTATTATAAAACACGAGTAATAAAAACTACGTTACATGTTTTTTATTTGAAGTAATAATAATTTTGTAGATAATATTATATATTATAAATTTATTATAGCTTTTTTATTAAAAAAACATGTTTATATTATTAGCATTTGAAAAATATGCTTGCATTAAAAAAACATGCGTACAATAATTATTCTATGTGAAAAAACATAGTAGAAGGAAATATATAAACTAAAACGACTAAAATTCTTATAAAATATCTTTTTTTTTTACTTTGAGTGATTATAAAATAATATTATTTATACTTTTTTTAATCAATAGATAACGTACCCATATCATTGAACTTGAAATTTCTAACAAAAGAACATTCATTTTTATTATTGATGTCACTTAATAAATTTAAATATCTTAATAAACAAAAGATTCTATACGTTTAACGGGGTCCAAAGATTATTGGTTTGGTCATAATTTTCTCCTATGATTATGATATATATGATCAAATAATTTAAATTCTTTGATTTGGTACTATTGAATTTATTTTTTAATCATTAAAATTAAATTTATTGAACAATTAATTTAAATTAAATAATATAAAATTTATTATTAGAATGATCTTTTTAATTTAATTTATTTCATTCACAACTAATTTAATTATTGGAAAAATTAATTTTAACTTATAATATTAAATCAGAATTATAATAAGGTTTACAAACATAATTGTAAACTAAATACATAATAAGGATATTTTTCTATCATCTTTAACACAAAAAGTTAAATCATATATCACACAATGATCATACAAGAAAAATATAAAAAACAAAACCCAACAAAAAACTTAAACAAAATATATATACACACAAATATGATTTTATCAATAAAAGAACTATAAAAAAATATTAAATTACTAAAAAAAATTATCTAACGAACCACAAATCAAGATTATTGAATATTCATAGAATGAAAACCAATCAATTAAATTTCAGGTCAATAATAAGATTGAAAGCGAAAGCCCTATGGAAACAAAGTTGGCAACATGACAATTGACATGGGACCTAATGGAGATTCGATTCTTGGAAAATAATTTTATTTGCTATGTTGCCTATGTCTAAGGAACGTAGTACCCTCGGATATGACATGTTAGACACGTCCTTTGATTGGAGTATTCGTGTGATTATAATACAAAAATAATATTGCGAACGGTGCGATGAAATGTGTTATATTTTGAACTCAATTTAACTGAGACTCGGATGGGTTGATGAATATAATAAAGAGTTGTTAAGATGGGTTTGTAGGTGTATATGTATTATTAATAGATTATAAAAATTATGAATATATATTATTTTATAATTATTTTAGAATATTCAAAAAATATTTATTTTTAGTCAATTAATTGATTAATCTATATTATGCATTATAGAGGTTTATTATGAGACGACTCTTTTAACTTAATTTTTTCCCTTCACAATTAAGGATGTAAATGAATTGAGGTTATATTCGTGTTCATTTGTTTATTTTTGAAGGTTTTCATATTCAGTTCGTATTTGTTTAATTTTTCAATATCGTGTTCGTTTATTTTATTTTTAAAGTTGTTCGTGTCCGTTTGTTTAACATCCGTGAACATATTTATTTAACATTCGCGAACATGTTCGCTTGGTGTTGTACGTCCATCAACATTCCCTTTTTAACAATATTTTTCAACATAATAAAATTCAATTACCAATTAATTTATTTTAACATAATTTAGAATTCATTTATATATTTTATTTAATATTATTCTAAAATAAAAAATACATTACTCTTTCTAATTAATCACATGAAGTCGTCAACCCCATAAATTCATCAATCTCTAGATTTTTTTATGTTCAATCAATATTTTTACTCATCAACTGGTTACGGTGGTTAAAAATGATGTTGTTCTCTTTAAAAGTTTTATGTTTGAGCGGTTATATTAAAACAACTTTTTAGTCATTGAAATTTCAGAAATTACAAAAAAACATTGAATTTATCGAACTGTTATAAATTAATCGTTGCATGTCATAAAATAATGACAAATTTTGATAAATTTAAGGATCATTTTGTAACAGTTTGATAAGTTTAATTTCTATTTTATAATAGTTTTATAAATTTTAATGATCATTTTGTAACTGGTTAAGTAGTTCAGTAGATATTTTATAACTTTCAAGATTTAAATGTCCAAATATATTATTTCAACATAATTTAGTGATAATTTGTATATTTTACCCAATTTCCTATCACAAATTTACTACCGGTTTAATTTTATTAAATTTCATCTCTACGATTATCATAGACAATGTTGAGCTACATTAAATCTTATATATCTCTCTCGTGTATGTCTATTTTTATGTTAATCTATTATTATTTATTTTCAGCTTGTAAATTCTTAACAAATGATATCAAAGTCATTGTTTGAGTTGTGAAGTTTTGAAGGAATTTATTGTTATGAATTTTATTAGTAATTTTAGGAACATGCAAGAGAGATTTTATTGTTAATACAAAAATATCAGCCAATGACTATTCTTTTACCGAACATGACTATCTATCCAAATTAAAAAGAATAAACCATTTATGATCGATAAGATTAATTTATTGCATTCAGCCGAACTAAAAGCCCAGTTTTTCAATTCCTTACTAAACAACCTTGACCTAACAAATACTCAATAACACAAACCAACCCACTATTGAGTAGAAGTACGATCTTTGAGTTTATCCAATCTTGAAAACCAAGTAAATGTATTGCGAACTTTTAACCCCGCCCCTGTTTTTATGAATAAATAAATATACGTCATATAAAAAAATTATGAAAAAGTAGTAATGTAGTATTGTTTTTTAATTGTTTGTTTTGTTTAATTTTTTAAACATATTGTTGCCTCAATCTAAAATTTTAAAGAGGATAATATATTTTTTATCACTGAAACTACTTAACGGGATCTAGTAATATAATATTGTTGTATACACATACACACACGGTTCGTGACGAGTATATAGCTTGTATGGAGAAAATAATTTAGAAACATATACATTCTTGATATTTACGAATATATATAATTAATCAAAGTGGCAACTGCCCAAGAGTTTTCCTTTTGTTTTAAATTTGTGCATTCCATGTGACAACCGCTAAATAACGACAATAACGGACTTGTGGATGAATGTTTGAATTTTGTGTGCTAACCATGTGAAACCCTACAGCTGCCTCGTTTATCAATAACATTAGCTATTTTAATTTAGCCTTCATAGATTATGGGTTATCCATTTCAATAATACATATATATATTTATTAAGGGCCTGCCTTATCTAAGGTTAGTGCTCAACAAAATTCAACAATGAAAAAGTAAAACATGGTTCCCTTTGTTAACGTAATGCTCAAGCATTGTCTTCCCTTGTTCTTTAGATTTTTCCCCGCAAGATACACAAGTGAAAATGAGAAGCCATTATTGAGTCGCCCAAATGTCAATTTCAAGAGATGCATCCCCATGTTATGCATTTGTCAGTGTCCGGGGCCATTAAGTTTGGGCAGTTAAATCTGTCACTTGCTTCGTTGTTTTACCAAAGACAAACCTAGCTAGAAGAAAGCAATTCCAAGCAACGGAGAGTTTTACTAAGGGGAGAATTGGAATTATAGTGATTTTTTATCATTCATTCTTTTCAATTTGAGACAATAAATTCAAACGATAGATGGTGAGAAGAAACGAAGTAAACTGAAAAAGTTGATAGAGAGAGTCAAAGAATGTCTTCTTATTTCAATTTTATATAGTGATTTATGTATAAACTCGTAGTATTCGTATTAGGCCTAGAGTAATAATGTATATTTGTAGGTTGACAGAGTAAATAGATTTAGTTGTCAAATAATAGATTTAACTGATAAATCTTATGGATTTCTATCAATGATCTTGTCAACGAAATGTAGCTAATTAGAGGATTTTCAAAGATTTCAAAAAATTCAAATATATATATATATATATATCGATAGGTGAAAAGAATGACAGTTGAAGAAGTTCATAAGAGACAAAGAAACTACCATGGGTGTTGGTAATTTATACAAATTGATTGAACTTGGTCGGTGATAAAAGCAGCCTGTCAATGCCACTAAAGTAGTGGGGAAGGCGGCCCCCATTCGAATATCAATCAGAGGACCTTTTGATCAGCTAATTATTATGGACTAGGTTTTGGGCCCGCACGACAAACTTTGCAACCACTTGCATGAGATGACATGAAATTGCTTCAACTAAAACGTTAAACAGTATCAACAATCAATTAATATGGTATAATAAGATATTAGATATCTTAAATAAGATCAGTGATTCGATTCTTGACATTTGTTAATGAAATAAATTGGATTGAGATAATCGTTATCATTTCTATAATACTCGATCTGAATTAATCGATTAATAAAATCATACATCAGTAACTACAAATAAATAAATAAATAAACTAAATTGTCAAAAGTCTAATCGTC